AATTCATGATTTAGCTTTCGAATAATGTTCTTTGTAAAAAAAACATTTAGTATCAACAAATCGAGTTGTTGGAAGATATTCAATAATGTATATGATACCATTTACTAGCATGCTCCCTCATAAGAAAATCAACTTATACGAAATTGAAGTTTGCACAAATATGTATATCGTATCAGATTCAAACACAAAACTACTATTATCAATTAAATGTGACCTAATTTTTTATATCAATTAATTATCGTACCTAATTTAACCATTTTCCTCCCGAACCAGGGTGGGTCCCGAGACCCACCCTGTTACCCTCTCCCTCCGCCATTGGTGCAAGGGAAGCCATACGTTTCTGCTTCCTTAGCCAAAATTGATAATGAACAACAAGTTGTAAAATCTAACCGTGCTCCAATTCTTCCTAGAAAGTTTTCCTTTGATGTTTCCAAGTTAGACGTAATTTTTGACCAGTTGTACAAGGATGGTCAGATTAAGCTGTCTGGGGAGCATAGTAATGACTCACTTGAAACTACACTGCGATTTAATCCCGACTAGAGCCCAAGCTTTTAAACTCTAGCAGGGTGCAGTATAGGGCAAGTATTTAATTGTCAAACCTGGGCCGGTCCATATACCCTTACTTCAATAACTTAGGTTGTTATCTAGCAAAACGGTTTTGGGTTTAAAACTAAGAAAAATACAAAATAAACAAACAAGTAAAGTAAATCGAGGAGAATTCTATATGAGAGGACTTCACTTGGGTATTGCTTCCCCTAGTCTCGTGCTAAGAAACAATTAACGTAACCCTTGTGTGAAGGATATGTTTATATACCGTGAGGCGGGTGCAACAAGCTAGGAGCAAACTGTTCTAGGTTGATCAACAAAGGATTGCTACAATAAGCTAGGGAACATAGCTCTCTTAACCTCTCGGGTAGGGATTGCAACAATAAGCTAGGGGTCCTAGCTCTCTTGTTCGATCAACGAAGAAAACCCTAACTCTCTTAGTTGACCAACTAAGGATTGTGGCAATAAGTTAGTAGACTAACTCTCTTAACCTTTCGACCAAGGATTGCGACAATAGGCTAGGCAATCTAACCCTCCTAACCGGTCAACTAAGGATTGCAAACCAAACCCTAGGAACTTAATCTGGACGGCGGAGAGACCAATCACAAAAGAATCATGGTACTAATCTGATACTTGAGGTTTTTGCCCTATATTAACCTAGAAGGGGTTACCCAAGAGGCTAGGAGGTCGAGCTCCCTATGGGCCAAAGGGGGATTTCCACCCTCTAGGTTAATTTGACCAATAATGAGATAATGCAAGCAACACTCAATCATTCATGATTAAATACCTCAAATATTATATAAAACACACAATCAAAACAATGGAATCAAGTTCTTACATCCTAACACACATCTAGACTAGGATTCACAATACCCAAGTGATTAGGTGGGCTATTCCATGGATAGGCAAAGGAAAATAACAAAGAGGAGAGAAAGAATTATGAAGAGATGACAATCTTCCTTCCTCCTTGCTTGAATCTCCCTTGAGAGGTAAGAATCTTCACTCCTCTCAATCATAATGGACACCATCCAACTCTATAAGTGGATGGTAGTGTCCAACATAATGGATACCATCCAAACCCTATCATGGATGGTGTCATCTAAGATCGTGGATACCATCCCAACCCTATGGTGGATCGTACCATCCCAACATCATGGATACTGTCCCAACTCTAAGTGGACGATGTTGTCCAAATAATAGAGATACCGTCCAATCATATATAGATGATGTTGTTTGTCTCATGGTTACCATCCAAATTACTAAGTGGATGGTACCATCCATATTATGGTATGGTGACCATCTAGTCTGGGTATCATCAATGGATTATTGTCCTCGTCAACATAGATACATCTAGGTTATTTGATGTATGGTGACCATCCAATGGCCCATCCATGGTACGCAGGGTTAGTAGTCCAGTGACATGATTACTTGTCGAAGGTGGTTACCTGAAGGAGCAGCTGACTTGCAAAGGACGCTCGGAGAGGAGTTAATTGATGCTACGTGGAGCTAATTTTTGGGGAGAGAGAGAGAGAGAGAAGGCAGTTGGAGAGGAGGCTTAACAAAACTGGCAACATACTTCTGGATGAAGGGCAGACAAATCAAGCCATAAACAGTCTCGTCAAAATTTATCTTTTTCTCTCTAGAACAGTAATCGTGGCAGTAGCATCAGGGACCCTCCACGAGGCTTCTCAGTTAGTTGTAGTCAGTAGTTGCGCAACTCTCAAGGAAACTCTATAGGAGTAGAGGTAACAATAACCAGATCTTTTGATGTATGCATCGAACACCCTCGTTGAAATAGTGTTTGAAGAGGTGTGAACCGAATAACATCGTTTTCTGTTTTCTTTAAGTCAGTGTGCATTGATCATGCAAAATTCCACTAAGAACACCAATACCCATGGCCAGCAAGCAGGAATACCACTAATTCTAGAAATCATGATGCAGCTGTAAAGTGGAAGAAATGAAGGTCGGCCTCTAGGGCCCCTTTGTTTCTCCTTATAGCCGGGCATGCCCTCCAAGTGACTGGAAACGAACCATCTTGAGTCTTGACCACGATCGGTGATCATGATTTCATGATGTTGATCTATTGATTCGAACGTGAAACCAATTTTCCCTCTGTGGAATGTTCTGTAATTAATTAGCCCTGATTACTGGATCAAATTTCTGTCTGGGATGAGAACAAGTCAATGAGACTAGAAGTAAATAATAATGTTGGAAGTTTACGTAGCTAGAAAGCTCCAGGCAGGCAGGCATATAGGAGATCTTCACCACGATCCACAAATTTGTCAGCAACGCACACATATTAATGCATCCGCCAATTGATCATTAGAATACAATTATTATCCCAAGCCAAATCTCCGTCGCTTGAAGGGTCAGTCAGCCTTCTGATTTTCTTTTCTTCGCTGCATATGTTGTTGTATTCATGATTTAAGTCGGGTTACGTTCTCAATCTCTGTAATGTATATCTCTTTAAATATAGTAAAATTGACATTTTTATCAAATGAATTAGCTAACATACATCTTATTAGTAAAACACATAAGTTTGTATATTTTTTTTACCTTTTTGTATTGTTAATTTTCCATTTCGTTATAAAAATTAATGAATGGAAAACTCCTAAAGTGGGCGAGTAAGTAACTCAAACGAGGGTAATAGAAAAATTTTGGTATAAGAAATTTGAAATGTGATAATTCAGTCGCCGTTCATCGGGGTTTTGGTTGCTAGCTCCCCTGTCACCAGCTCGCCAACGTTTTTTACCATCCGGCCCTGGGCAAGCGTCGCCCCCCATACATGGTTGGAGCCTTGGAGGAGTTATAAAAGTCTTGTTAATTGCTCAACTTTTCAAATTCATTTAAAATTTACATGTAATTTTATCAACAGTTAGAGGACTGTATCTTCTATTTTGTGATATAGATTTGGTTTTTAGTTAGGTGTTATTTAAGTTATTCGAATATGATACCTTCAGTTTTAAATCCAATAATATTACCATTGGACCAAACATCTTCTCCAACAAATTTATTAGTGATTAAAATATTTTTTTCGTAAGTACGATTAAGGAAATGAAAAATATTTATATTCACAAATGTCGTATTGCTACCGCTAATAATAATATTATCAAAGTTAAAGTGGTAAGGGCGTTGCACTCACCTGTTCATAGCTAACGATTATAAATGTTAAAAACCATAATCATCTCAATAACTCAAGTTATTAACCAACCTCTTTGTTACGGATGGTGAATCAGGAAAATTGGTTTTTTCTCTGAATGGTGAACCTTGTTATCTCCTCGCCGTCAGCTTCTTTACCTCCTCCGGCAAGCAAACCTCCCGATCCACCGCCTCAACAAACTCATCAGGATACCCCTCCAATTGGTCCTGGTGGAAATGACGCTCTGGTGTCTTACAAGAACGTGCTCACAGGTCAGGCCTCGGAAAGAGTGACCAAAGCTAGCCAGTAGACCTTCGTGAGTGAACACGATATGGTGGTCGGCACTCTCAATGGCGATCCTGCACTTAACTTCTCGGAAAAATTCAAGGAACGACTCTGTGATCCATGGAAGAAGACCCTAATTGTTCATCTTCTAGGCCGGTCAGTCTCTTATTCATATTTATGCTCTCAACTCAGATGGATGTGGCGGCCCTCAGGCTCACTGGACATCATTGATTTGAACAACGAGACTTTCTTGGTGACATTTAACAACGATCATGATTATCTCAAAGCGCTTACAGGTGGTCCATGAGTGATCTTAGACCACTATCTTCTTGTTCATCAATGGACGCCAAGATTCCGATCTACGGACAGACCTCACCGATCGGTCGTTGCTTGGGTCCAATTTCCTTAGCTGCCAGTGCATTTCTACCACAGAGAAGTTTTATTTGCAATTGGAAACTTAATTGGTCGCATAGTGAAGCTGGATTACCACACGGAAACGCTTCAACAAGGGAAATTTGCCAGGATTGCTATTAAGTTAGATATGACAAAACCTCTTCTGACAAAGGTTTACCTTGAGGGCATTCGACATCAAGTTCAATAAAAAAATCTCCCTCATATTTGCTATGAGTGTGGCAGAATTGGATACCTCAAAGAACATTGCCCGAATCGGTCACCATCCCAGGAGCTAGCTTTGGTTGTAGTTCCCGAAAACGCATCGACGTGCTTGCCGGCGAATCAATCATCGGAACCCCACCCCCTCCCCCCCCTCCCCCCCCCCCTCCGGCTACGGTCCGTGGATGCAAGTCACTCGAAAGTCATGGAAGCCGAATAAACCCAAATCGGGTAACTACTCGAACTTTCCTCCTTCGTTTGGTACTGATTCAGGTAAAGCTGTACCAAAATCAGGGGGAAAAGGGAAAGGGGAATCACACAAAGGAGTGATCCGCGCAGACAAAAAAGGAAAGAAAGAAATAAAGGAAGAGCAAAAAAAAAAGGAATACATGGTGCTCAGAAAGGGAAAGCAGAGGATATGGAATCAGAGACTAATAACGAGAAGAAGAAAGCTAACGGCTCTCACGAATGGGGGGTGAAAGATTCAAAAGGCAACTCCACTAGTGAAACTCAGCCAACAAAAGTCGAAGGCATTCTTGTGGGCCAGGCCTCGTCGTCCAACACGACTTCATCCCAAGACGTGGTTCTGGGCCCAAACAACACGACGATCCGAATTCTATCCGGTCCCCCACTAGTGGTTGACCAGAAAGAAAATTTTGAACCCAATTCAAAAAGTACAACAGCCCGCCAACGGTCACAGAAGAAAACAGAGGAGAGCTCTCTGAAACAGAACCAAGGCAAGGGGATCAATCTCAAGGGCATCAAGAAACCTCTTCAAATCAACTCTGACACAAAGAAAGCCCTGCCCAAGAAACCGACGAACAATAACTTTCCCATAACCCTGAAAGCCATCGAGGAGTTCTATTCTCACACTCAATTGAAGGCCTATGAGTTCCAAAATATTCTCTCAGGGAAACCTACTAATGTGGACATGATGGAGATGCATGACGCGACCACTGCTAAGAATCAATTAGAAAATGTAGACAACCAGAGAGACCAAACAGCCGTCTCTGAGGCTCTCATTTAATTTTTTTGGATGTTTTCTTGTCACTACTCCTTTGTTAGTTCCTTTCCCTTTTTACCTTATGTCTATACAACCAAAGTTTAAAGTGCTAGCGTGGAATGTTTGTGGTGTAGGTAGCAAAGACTTCAGACGAGCTATCAAGTTGCTTGTCCAGTCTTACACGCCAAATTTTCTCATTATGTTCGAACCCCAGATTAGCGGTGATCGTGCTAACAAAGTTTGTGACAATCTGGGTTTTGATGAAGTGGTGAGATTTGATGCTGAGGGAAGAAGTGGTGGTATTTGACTAGCCTGGAAAGCTGGGGATCTTATAGATGCCAGCAAACAACACATCACCATTAGAGCTTCCAAATATGGTCAGGGAGAGTGGCTGCTCACTGGGGTTTATGGGATCCCTCAGTACAAGTTTTATCAACAGCTGTGGGATCATCTTATTCATACCAACAACAATAACCATTTGCCTTGGCTCGTAACTGGTGACTTCAATGCCTATCGATTCCCCTCGGAGAAAAGAAGATCAATCTCTTTCGCAGCCCTTAGACGCTGTCATAATTTTGCCAATTGGATTGATGCTTCTAACTTGATTGATTTGGGTTTCTTTGGAGCTCGTTACACCTGGTTTCAAGGAAACTTAGGAACTGGCCATAAAGCTAGCAGAATTGATCGTTCCTTTTGCAATTCTGTTTGGAATTCCTCCTTCCCTGACACCTTGGTCCAACATCTCCCCAAGTTGCATTCAGATCATCTACCTATTCTAACCAACAGTGTTGGGATGGCTCCTATTACCAGTGGTGAAAGACCTTTTCGTTTCGAGGTAGCCTGGTTACTTCATGAGGATTTTCATAGTTTCTTTGAATGCTCCTGGAATAAAGATGTTAACCTTCATCAAGCTCTCCATGAAATCTCCATCAAACTCCAAAGATGGAACAAGGAGACTTTGAGGATCATTCAACACAGGAAGAAGAGGCTTTTGGCTAGACTGCAAGGAATACAAATCAATATAGCCAACAACTTCAATCCTGGTCTCCTCAAGCTGCAAGCAAAAATTGAAACTGAGCTCGATAATCTTCTTGTGCAAGAATAGATCATCTGGTTCTAGAGGGCTAAAGAAAATTGGGCGACCCTCGGAGAACATAATTTTGCCTATTTTCACCATCAAGCTACTAAAAAGAGAAGGAAAAGCAAAATTCTGGATCTCAAAGATGAGAATGGGAACTGGGTGGAGAATCCGGTGGAGCTAGAACAACTTGTTGTTTCCTTCTACTCCTAGCTTTTTAAGCAGGACTCCTCTCCTTACCTCGACCTCATGCCCAAAAATGTTTTCCCCATAATTGATCAAGGAGAAATTCTTCATCCTTTCTCTATCTTAGATATTCATAAAGCAATCTTTGGAATGAAACCTTTCTCTGACCCTGGCCCGGATGGTTTTCAAGCTGTCTTTTATCAAAAACTGTGGTCTTTGGTAGAGCAGACTACTACTAACTTAGCTATTTCTTTCTTTGAAACAGGTCATCTTCCTACTGATATGCTAGATTCCACCATTGTTCTTATTCCCAAAGTTACCCACCCTGAATCCCCTGCTCAGCTTTGACCTATTTGCCTCAACAATGTGATCATCAAAGCCATCACTAAGGCCATGGCCAACAGATTGAAACCGTTGATGAGCAAATTGGTAGCTCCTAGACAAAGTGGTTTTATTCCCAAGAGTCAGAAGAATGACAACATCATCATCCTGCAAGAGGTGCTACGTTCTCTTCGATCCAGAAAAGGTAAAAAAGGAGGAATGGTGATCAAAATAGACCTTGAGAAGGCTTAAGACAGGTTAAGATGGGAGTTCATTAGGGACACTTTGATTGAAATTGGTCTCCCAAGTACCTGGATAAGCAGGATCATGAAAACTGTAGAGGAAAACAGAATGAATATCTGTTGGAATGGCACCTTGACTGATTGGATTTTGCCTTCTACGGAGGGGGGGGGGGGGGTTGGTGGTGAGGCAGGGAGACCGTCTTTCTCCCTACCTCTTCGTCCTCTGTATGGAAAGACTCTCCCATAAGATCAATTTAGCTGTGGAAAACAAACAATGGAAACCCTTATCTCTTACCTCCCATGGCTTTAAATTGTCTCACCTATTTTTCCTAGATGACTTGATCTTGTTTGCAGAGATAGGTTCTAATAAAGGGGAGACTATCAAGAGATTCCTAGATGAATTTTGTGAGAGATCGGGACAAAAGGTCAACCTGAGAAAATCAATGATGTATGTCTCTCCAAACGTCAATCGACAGAAAGCGCAACACCTCTGTGACCAAGCCAATATCCCTCTCACCAGTGATTTGGGGCGATATCTTGGCTCAATGTCATTCATGGAAGAGTCTCCAAAACTAGATACAAATATTTAGTGTTGCGCATTCAGAAGAACTTGCTTCCTGGAAGACGAATTACCTGTCTCTGGCTTCTCGCATGACTCTGGTGAGATCAGTCTCTTCCTCCATGGTTGTTTACCCAATGTTTTCAGAGTCACTTCCAGCCTCTGTTTTCAATTCTTTGGACAGGGTTAACAGGAAGTTCATTTGGGGGGAAGAAGAAGGGAAAGGGAAATTTCACCTGATTGTGTGGGAACAATTAACCTTGCCAAGAGATCAAGGTGGTGCTAGGATTCTCCCTACAAAGTTGGCAAACTAGGCAATGTTAGCAAAGGGTAGCTAGAAGTTAGCAACGAGGGAAGTAACTCTATGGAAAAGACTTTTTCTTGACAAATATGGTGGGAACAGAGAAGGCATCAACATTCTGCAAAAGAAACAGGGAAGTTCTCTTGCTTGGAGGAGCTTTGTCTCTACGGCCAATGTGCTTAAGAAGGATTTTGCTATGAACATTAAAAATGGTAGGGGAACTAATTTTTGGTGTGATCCCTGGATTTCGCAGGTTCCTCTAAAAGATCTCGCCACTGCAGAAGTTTCAGAGGAGAACAAAAAGGAAAGCGTGGCTGAGTTTTGGGACCCCGATCGAGGATGGAAGCTTGAAGAGTTCCAACAACTTCTCCCTGTGCAAACGGTGAACAAAATTAGAGCAGCCATGGTCGACCCCCTTTCCATGGAGGACGATCAAGCTTTCTGGAGCCTAACTGCTAATGGATGCTTCTCTGCTAAGTCAGCCTTCAAAGCAGCGCAACTAAAAAATGAACAGCTACCCAATTCCATCTGGAAACGAATATGGAAACTTCAAATTCCGGAACGAGTCAGGGTCTTCATTTAGATGGTTGTTCAGGGAAAATTAACGACAAACAACATCAGAAAATCCAGGCACTTGACTAAGATGAATCGTGCCCTGATTACAACGACATAATTGAGACCAACCTTTACTGTTTAAGAGATTGTAGAAGGGCCAAATCAATATGGGACATAATTCTAGACCAAGACAGGAAACAAAGCTTTTTCAGTGGTAGCCTTGATGACTGGATGGGTTTCAATCTTCGTGACGACTCAACTGGAAATTGGCCTGGTCAGTGGAGCAGTTTCTTCAGCTTAATATTGTGGTACCTTTGGAAATGCCGAAATGAGGGGATTTTCAAAGGAGTGAAACTGACCGCCTCCTCTCTTTAACACTACGTAGTAGCCAAAGCTACAGAATGGGTGAAAGCTTGGAAATCGATTCAACAAGCTGCTATAATGAATGAGACGCAAAGGAGAACAGAAGAGTTAATTGGATGGATCAAACCCCCTACAGGATGGCACAAGCTTAACACAGATGGAGCTGCTCAGAGAAATCCTAGCATGGTGACAGTAGGGGGAGTCTACGAGATAATGATGGGGATTGGATTGGTGGTTTCTGCAGCAAACTTGGGTATGGTACCGCGTTGCTTGCGGAGATCTGGGGAATCCTACAAGGCCTAGAATTAGCTTGGAATAAGGGCTCAAGATTCCTCATTCTAGAAATGGACTCGAAATTGGCTTTACAAATCATTGAGAAGAGAAATGACAGAGTGCATCCTTATGCCACGATCCTTGGATCAATCAGACGAGCTTTGTCTAGAGAATGGGTGAGATTGGTTCATACTTATCGCGAAGGGAATAGAGTCGCGGAATGGCTCTGGAAGCACAGTCTCTTCTATCCCTTCGATACGTATGAATTAATTGACCCCCATTAGAACTCAACAGAATATGCCAGGAGGACATAATTGGAGTAAGCTTTCCTAGGCAAGTAATCCGAACTAGTGATGATTAGCTTGGGATTCTCTGTTTCTTCTATGATCCCCTGTTCCATTCTGGTTTGTTGCCTATCTCTGCTCCTAGCCGTTAGGAGTATGTAAGGTTGGCGGTTTGCCTCCATTCAATAAAAAAACAACCTCTTTCTTATACTTTTTCACTCCTGCCATTTTGTGGATCATGTCTTGCGATCCGTGTTTGGCGTTTCTAATGAATCATCTCTTGTAAAGCTTTTATTGTGAGTTTGAATAAAATATTTCGTCTTTATAAAAAAAATCACGTTTGTTAATAGAGACTCATGTATGATTTTATATCATTCTCTTACATGCCCTTTCTAAAATGAAGTTCAATTTATGGGTTTAACTTTCATAATCCACCATATCTCGGGCTTATATCAAAAGTTAGTATTAGATGTCGCTGAGATTTGAGTATGAGATATCTTGGTCAAAAAGCTCGATGTACCATGTTATAACACTGTATTGATCTTATAGTAACTTGCACAAATTACTAAGATGTCTATATATGAATCTTGTATCCTTCCCTTATATGTCAATGACCTGTTAGTCCCATGATTAAAATGGTTGTGAGTTCTACTGTTTGTAGCGGTCAAATTGGGATTTTACGTAAAATAAAAAATGGTAAAATTATAGGATTTTAATGTCCATATAAAACTATGACGGAATAATATTAATAATAAAAATCATGAATAACACCAAAAAAAACATAACACTTACAATGATAATTTCTCAAGGTTAATGTTCCAATTTATCAAGGTTAATGTTGGGAAGCGGTGAATGGATAATGATTAATATGTTGATGTGAATTGATGATGACCGATGTTGGTTACTCTGAGAGAACTAGATGATGTTGGTGGAGGAGAAGGAAAAGAGGCATCATTTGCGAATTCCCTGGAAGAGAACTAAAATTAACCCAAAGATTTGAATTGTAAATCGTAAGATTTTAAAGATTTAAATCGTGAATAGTGTATGATTTTGAGGTTTATAATTTTGTAGTGAAATCAAGATCGAAATAAGTAAATGAAATCGTAATTTCATAAGATTTTAAAATTCAAATCGGGATTTTACCTGCTTTTGATACCGTTCTAAAAATCTATACATATTGACATATGGCAAGTCGAGGGAATCATATTGCTAAGCAACAGGCGTATTGCAGATATCATGCCATCTCTATCCTTGTAGCCAAAGATTTCCCAGTCATCGGTGAAGTTCCCAGTTGGCTTTACGGCTCCATCCTTCTTGAGCAACGCGTTATTTTTGGATGTATTCTTTATTGTATCTGCGATCGGGAAGAGCTTAGCAGCTAGCTATAGCTAGGGATAGTGTCAAAGCTAGCTAAGGGAACATCAAAGCTTGAGGTGTAAATCTGGTCCCTGTCCATTAGCCGATGGAAGGAGGAAAAGGAGAGCCGGCCGGCCGCCGCTTGCCACGGCGGCACGTCATAGATGTTAGAGGGCGAACAACCGACAGATAGCCCTCCTTGAAATTAAATTTAATTAGTCTTTTCTAACCACCATTCTGCAGAGTTTACAATAACAATACAAAAATTAAGGAAATAAATTAGAATTTAATAATAATAATAATAATAATAATAATAATAATAATAATAAAGTAATAATGATGAATAACCTTAGGATCCAGCCTATGGGGTATCAATTAGAATCCTTATAGATATCATATGTAATCCTTTTTTTTTACCAGTATATCATATCTCATCCAATGCGTTTGTTAATTACTCTTATATTAATTTTGCGAAATCATCTTAGAAGAATTCAAGATATTAATAAAAAGCGCTAATGTCAACGAACTCACTTTACGTTGTGCAACCTAGTCAAATTCAAGCATTGTATAGTATTAATACATATTTTTTTGCCGCCATGCATTATCCTTTGTTCTTCACATGACTTCGAGGGGTCGAACTCAGGACCTTACACGTCCAAAATTTTGAAGCATAGAAATCGTCTCCGACTTGATCTAATAATTGTTGTTGAGCATAGTTGGACAGAACAATTATGATATGGATTGAAAGTCTATCCGAGGCAAGTGTTTGGATCTATTATGACATATTCGTACGTGTGTATCAACGAAAAACTCTGCGACCGAACGATCCGATGAAATGAAAGCATTGGCCCGATAAAAGAGAATAAATAGAGAATGCTTGTGTGCGTGCATGGAGCCCATGAAATACTATGAAAGAACGAACTGTAAGCGATAGACGTGCCAACTTTGCGTATTTTACATTATTCCAATTAAATATCTAATGGAAAAATTCGATTTGAAATTAACCAAATAAAAAGTAAGTGGACAATTATCTGGTCGCAGAAACTCCTACTTCTCGATTTTCGCCTAAATATCATGTTTGTTACTAAGAAAACAAATTAACTTCACGTTGACCAATAATTTTTTTTAATTTTATTAGTATTCGCTATAATTAGTTCAACATTTATATTTTGGTCATTGGGCGTTAACTTCCTCCAAATTTCGATAAAGTCGTCAGGCTTTTTATAACGTGGCTGACGAAAATGCGAAGTCATCCGAATTTAAGTAGAGAAAAATAAAAACCGACTCGCCATGTCATAATATCCGTCACGTCATGTAATTCAATCCAACCCGTGAATCGACCCATTATATAAATACAATTCTCCGCCGCGAAAAAAGCTCGCAACTGTGCCACCGACGACATCATCTCTAAGTCCACCAGTTGGTTCCAATAACTCGAATTGTTAAGAGGGGTTTTTACATAAATTTTAACCACTTCTTTACATCACTAATGTGTGGTACCACATCAACCCAAGTTATACATAGACAAATCAGTTTTTTATTTTTTTTGTTTGCATTTGAAAGTTTATGTAGTATTCATTGCTCTTAATTAGGAACCCATACCGGGGGCCAAGGCCAGGAATAACAAGACTGTGCCAGCCTGAAGCTAGCTGGTGTGATCGCAACAGATAAGAAAAATGCTGTCCCAAAAGGGGCGAGGGAGGCTCAACAGAAAGGAAAAAGAAGGTGATAATTATATGCCAATTGGCTTCGATCGATATGTATATATTGGACCAGAAAGGAAAACTGATCAATCAGCGCATGCATGCAAATTCGATGCTGCGGCCCACACCATTATCTATCTGGCATTCGATGCAAATGAGTAGTATATATTATTTCTCTCTAGATATAGTTAGTGCAGGCGGTGCCCAAGATTAAATCTGAAGCAAGATCTCTGTTAATCATTAACCCAAATCTTCCTAGCTAACAAAATGGTAATGACTCAATGGCTAATTGTCCAAGTTCTGATACAAAATGATAAAATTAGGATTAAGCAATAGATATAAGTTTTTGTGGAGGAGACAGTAAGGAAGTTGTTAAGTATGGGATCAGTTAATATGAGACATGGTATCAAAGCTGGTTTGTTTTTTAGATAATGTGTTTAAGTCCTCATGATCTGAATATTAATCGTTATTCTAAAAACACATGGTAAGTGGAGGCCTGTGGAAATGTCAAGCCTATAAGCCGGCTTTCGTTTGAGGGGCGTGTATGAAAGTGGTTAAGTACCATAAGTCCATAATTGACCTCTCCCAGCAACTCAAACTATTGAGAATAGTTGATTTGCGACAGAGACCACCTAGATCGGATATTTTCGTGGTTCAACCATTTCGACAATCATCTTGGTGATATTACTTTTTAAAGGTGAAAATTCTTTGCGTCCGATTTACAAGTGTTTAGTTAAAAAGAACAATTGTGAGTGTAGATTTCCTTATACATGACGATAAGTAATTTTCAAAGGAAACTAGGAAAGAGAAAATTTTATTTCTTGATCAAAAGAGAGACACTTATTGAATACAACCTTTAACTCAATGTAAGGGCACAAAGAAAAACAATTGAAGGTGGGCATCATCTTAGGAGTCAGCTTAAAACTTCCCAACAGAGAATTTTATTGGGGAAAAGCAAACAAAAAGGAAAAGAAAAGGAAATGTGGGGAAACAGAATTTGTTTTTGTTCCCCTCTTTGAGGATAAGTAGATGATGACCACTTTCATGGGCCAATATCATCAGCATATGTAAGTATATGTAACCAACTTATAAGTAACCTGTCTCCCTCCCATGATCAAAGTGTATAACACAAACAAAAAGCAAACCAGTAAGGAGCAAACAACAAAAAGCATCACAAAATATCCTCGTGTTTTGGTAATTAATTAGACTGTGATTACAAAAAAGCGATTTTCGGCACACAACAAACTCGATACATATGACATCCTTCTAATACTTAGGTTTATCTCAAAATATCTCATATAATAAATGATGATCTAACCCCTCATAATACGGTGCAAGTAAATTGTCTAACAATCCTTGAAAACCAGGTTATTGCATGCAGAGAAATTGTTCTGTTAACAACAATGTAGTAAAAAATATAGCTTGGTGAGCGAACTTGCAATCAAGTCATCTGTCACTGATGCCACCATAATAATTGTAAAGATATTGACAATTTTTTTTAAGTAAATGATTTTTGGTTCATTATTCAATGTCACTATTACGAAGAGGAGAAAAAACTATTATGCATAAGAGGTGCCAAATATGGAACTCGTGTACCACAACTCATGTCACAATAATTGGATCGATACCTTAACTTCCACACAAAAGATCCCTCATTATAAAAAAGAAAAAGATTTGAATCGGGTTCGACTTTTCATTACCGTAATTTCTATCTATATAAACTTTGTTATCTTTGTAAAACAAAAAATAAAAAATATCAAAGAAGAAACAAAAAAAAAATTATTTGTAGATGGACTAAACAATTGAATATTGCCTATCCAACTGGTCACCACCTCCCCCAAAATAATGTGAGCAATCCTCCTTGATTTCAGCGTTATTATTATCCTTATTAGTACCCAAATCCTTCTTCTTAATCATATCATCCTCCTCCTGATCCTCCACGTCATCATGATGACGAGCCAAATCCCCTGTCAGCTTTTGGGCCCTCCGTGCCTCCCCTTCCCAATCGGTCCGACCCAAGACCACTAGCATGGTCAGTGCGCACGACCCTTGGGCCGCCAGCAACCCGAGCCACAGCCCTTGGAAGTCGAACCCGGCCCAAAACGCCAACCAAACCGCGACCGGCGTCCCGACCAGGTAAAAACACCCCAAATTGATATTCGCCCCAATCCTCGGCCTCGCCGTCCCTCTCAGAACCCCGCACCCGGTCGTCTGCGGGCAGTTCCCCAGCTCGCACAACCCAATGATCGGCAGAACCATCGCCGTCAGCGCCACAATCTCTTCGTCGTCGGTGAACATCGTCGCCCAGATTTTCCTCACGGTAATCGCGAAGCTCAGCGCCGTGAACCCGAGAAAGAAGCTCGAGCAGAGCCCCACGACGGCGGCCGTCTTCGCCTTCCCCGGCCGATTCGCGCCCAATTCGTTCCCGACCCTCGTCGAGACGCTGAAGCTCAGGGAAGAAGGGAAGATGTAGATTAGCGAGGTGGTCTGGATCAGAATCCCCATGGAGGCGATGGTTGCTCTAGGGTTTATCAGCAGACCGCAGAGGAGGATCATGATCTCGTACCACCACCACTCGAGGCAGACGGAGACGCAGCTGGGGATCGCCAAATCGAGGAGGGACTTCCACTCTCTGAAGCATTCGAGGGAGAATCCTCCCCAGGTCTTCTTGTGGACTCCGGAGAAGATGATGTAGAGGATCAGGGAAGCGACGAGGTTGAAATTGGTCCAAACCCCACTCAACGCGACGCCCTTGATCCCCAAATTGAGGTGGGTAACGAGGTAATAGTTGATTGGTATGTGCAGGAGAATGGAAATGGTGGCGCAGAATGTTAGAGGTAAGGTGATGGATTGGGCTCTGAGGTAGATTCTCAGTGGGTGGAGGAAAGATTGGGCTAAAAGGTCAGGAACAGAGTAAATTAGGTACAATTGCGCTTTCGAGGCGATTTCCAAATCCTGCCCGCAGAATAACAGGATTGATTTCATGTTCAGCCATAGGAAAGTGATGGGCAAGGAAGTTAAGAGCAGGAGCAGGACCGCTCGTTGCAGAGTGAGGCCGAGGAGGCGGTGCTTCTGTGCACCAAAGGCTTGGCCACAGATAGGCTCCATCCCCATAGCTAAGCCAGACAGGATCGAGTAGCCGGTAATGTTGGCGAAGCCTAGAGCGAGCGATCCCCCGGCTAAGGAGAGCTCTCCAAGTCGGCCCAGGAAGAGCATGGAGATCATGGACCGGGAGTAGAGCAGTAGCCCGGTAAGGATCATGGGGAAGGCTATTCTGGCTATGGAGATTGCCTCTGCCACAATGGGTGCTCTTGTTGCTGATTTAGTGGTAGTTGCATCAGTATCTGAGATTGTTGGGGTTTTGGAGATCAATGGTGTGGACATGTTGTTGGGTTGTTGTTGCTGTTGGTGTTTGATGGTGACAAGGTAAGATTGTGGGCAGCAGCATTGGGCTTGGTGGTCATCTCCCTGGCTGAGGGGAAGGGAGACTTGCTGCTGGCACATTATGATGGGCCTGTTTGGTCTCTGAGAAAAAGGGGAAGAGTGGGAAGGAGGGAAAGAATGGAACTTTGGGAGCAGAAATGGAGAGGGTGAGGAGGGGAGGTTTTAGAGGAAGGGGGAGGGAGGGAGGGTTATATAGCAGAAGTGGGGAGACTCTAGTCTCGAAGCCACTAAGCCTGAAAAGGTGACAGCTTTGAATTTCTCTCCACACGCACAGTCCCTCCCTCTGCTTTGTGGATGGACTGTAGTGGCCGGCCTGCTGCTCCTCTAAGGTCCAATTGCAATAAAGGGGCAAAAAGGGGGAGGCAAAGTGAGTAGGAAACCCCCCCCCCCCCCAAAAAAGGAAAGAAATATATGAAGGATGGAGAGGAGGATGAGGAGAAGAAAGAAGAATGGAATTGGATGCCCTGGAACTGAGAGGCATGGAAGCTTTGAGATATCCTGATATGGAAATTTGAAGAATTGATTAACGAAGTAATTCATTTTATCTGTGTATTAATTATGTGTATTGTGAAACTGAAGCAAAAACTCTTGTTTGATTTTCCGGTAAAGTTCCTGGGGAAATATAATTAAAAACCTGAAGCCGGTTGACGATAGAGATGGGGTTTACAATAATATTAATTTACATGTGTTGGTATAATTAATTGGTTGATTAAGGTTGTCAAATGAGGGGGATGGTTTCGAATTTTTGATGTCTCAAAAGTAAGGACAAAATCCCGTCTTGGACAGTACCCATATTGCCAAGAGCGGGATTAAGGGGCCAGTTAAAGCTGTGGACGAAACCACCCAAAAATTGTGCTTGCAAAAGTTTTATCGGTTTCGCAATTAGTTGTTATTTACAATGAACAATATACCGGTTTGACTATAATTTTTTTTATTGGATTCTAAATCAGTAGGTGGTATTTAGCTATATGGAACGGTTGAATCATAGTTAAATCACAGTTTCAAAATAAAATACCTTATCGGTAACTTTTCCAATAGAACTTCCGCAAAAGTTTTGCAATCATTGCTGATTTATGCCGGGTGAAGGGCTGGTTGCAACGAGTGGCATAGCTAGCATTTTATGTAAATGGTAAGGGTGACTATACTGTCCGGTTAAATTGACCCGAATTGATCCGGTCCCGGTCCGGTCTTTTCGAGAATATAAGGACTAAAGATTGGATTGGATACAGTCCGGTCTTGGAACCGGTCCGGTCCTAATTTGGTCTTGATTTTAGATTGAGCAAGTGGGGATTTGAGTGGCCTGAGAGGAGATTTGAATGGCCTGAGGCCTGAAAGGGTGAGAAGGTTAAATTTTGGGCGTTGGACTCTCTTATCCGGTCTTTCTCTGATTTTTTGGTCCGGAATGGTTTTTTTTTACCTCAAATCTAGGCCCGAATATGAGATTGGATTGTTTGCTATCTGGTCCGGTCTCGTTCCGGGTTATACAATCTGGTTTTGGTTAAAACCAAAAAACCCGGACTAAATAGCCACCCTTAATAAATTGTACCCGATTTAAAACAAAATACTGTAAGATAATTTTTTGTAGAAACTTTATAGTGTTCAATAACATATTTTTGTAAGACACATCCATATGATATCAATCTTGTTATATTCTATAAAATACTCATCTATGATTTTATTAGTTTATCAAAGTGAAATGTGTTTTTACATAGTTGATTGCAAATGTCCATTCAAAACTTGTAGAGCATACTAGTAGCAACAACGGTACCTGCTTCTCTTGATGACCACGGTTTTGAAAAGTTAAGGAATTCTATTTGATTCTAGAAAATCTTGTAGTATTTCTCCAAATCATATATATATAATAATATAGTTGAGGTTCAAAATCTAAAATATGAATATCTAATAACTCATTATTAGGTTAAATGGAAGATAGCAGTTTTCAACATGAAGAGGATCATTTGGTGGAAGAAGTTAACATTAGGGTATATTGTGTTGAAGTCCTCTTTTAATCGTGATTCAATCGTTATATATCACTAAAAATTACTTGTCAATTTAGACTTTGATAGCAAGTTTTTCCGATTGGATTGTCGGTATGGTCTCATAAACACCGCTTTAAAATCATTATGTACTGCAAGTCATATTAAATTTCACCTGGTTTTAGTTGGAAATATTGTAGAGTTTGAATGATGAATAAACATCCATATCATGAACTAATCACAAATAGCACAAGAAACATATCAAATTAAAAACTTTTATGGTGAATTAGGTTTAAGAGGTGGGATACATGTATTGACACAATTGGAAAAGTGAAATCAACGAAAATAGAGTTGCTTTCCTTTGAAATTATGAACTCTAAAGTATAGAAATTGGTGCGAGGCGAGTAAGAGTATGTGGATGAGGATGAGGCAAGGCAACTAAACTCATCCCCAATATATTCTTTGCGGGATTTCCCACTATTTGCTCCATCTATAGTATTGCGCGAATTTCCCTTGTTCATCGGATTAGAGGAATCAGGTTTTTTATAAGCTTAGTTTGGCTATGTTCTAGCTTTTGCAGAAGCAGTTTTTGGCTGGAGCTTTTAGATAAGTACTTTTCAAAACTATTAGAAGTGCTTTTTAATGTGAGAGATTGTGTAAAATGACTATAAAGGACTTATAATATAAAATAAAAATAAAAATTCTAAACAATAAAAATTAGTCAAAATGGATCTTGTTAGATTTCTTTTATATTAAATAATATGATTTTATAATTTATTTTATTTTTAAAATGATATAAATGAAAGAAAATTATATTTTCTGAAATAAAATTAAAATATGGTAAGGATAAATTATTGTTTAGAATGACAATTCTGCTTTTATATTATACAAAAGCGTTTTTCGACTTTTCAAAAACCGAGCTTTTACAGGTGTTTGGCCCTGCTTAAACTTTTGAACCCGAAAAGCACTTCTAAAAGCCGGGCCAAACATAGTGATAGTTATGGTAGAATTGTCATTCCTGACATGGAGTGGTCATGACTCAAACTCATCACCATTGAATTGCAATACTAATTGATATTGTTCAACTATAACTTCGTGCTCATATATGTAATTTTTTTTTTCTATTTTCTAACCGTCCACACATTATTATTATTATATAAACCCTTTTGTTTCAATTATCTTAGACGATCTAAATATCTTCAATAGAACATTAACATCATTATTATTTTATCTCGGAGGCTTAAATTTTATAGGAAAAACTTTAAAAGAGAAAATTTTATTTTTGGAGTACTAAGCAATTTCAAGCAATGATCCACTACTTTCAATAGTGGCTGGCCGGTGAAATGTGGCCATGAGTGGATAGCCAAACGGGCAAAAGTAAACAATTTTCTGTTACAATTCTCAATCTCTAGCTACTTGCAACGTAGTGCTCTGCATATTTGGGTTTTGGGATTTGAGTTTGACTGTATTTTTTCTGCATTTGACCTCGACGGATTGAGTTTGACTGGTATTAAACAAGTGATCAGCAGACCCTATCGAATTTTGGGTACTATCTTCTTAGTTCTTAGTCCTAGGAGGAAAATATTCCGTTTGATTTTTGTTGATTGTAAGTAAATATTAACTCCACTCAATAATATTAATTAACTTCTTTCTTCATGGGAAAGTTCAAAGTACGTAGGCTTTTCCATTCCCAGTAGCTTCAAAAGTAAGTAGCTACAACTCCTTCAAAAAATTTGGTTAATATGCCAGGATCACATTATCATCCCCTTCTTTGGAATATGGTAGCGGGTACCTCAATATTCATGTCTCGTCCGACACTTCTGTTGGTCGGGACGAGTAATATCCATGCGGGTACGGACACGGCGGGTTGACTCACTCTTACATGTTATTTGAAAAAAAAAACTACACACACAAATTTATCTTTTCCAATAAAATGAAGGGAAATCACTTTATGAATGAAAAATATCGATAATGGAATGTGTAATTAAGTTTAACTAGTTGAATGATCAATTCTTATTGGTTGAACAAAAGCCAAAATAGGAGAAATATGAATAGAAAGTGTAAGAAATTGAGATCAAATGGCCAAGAACGGGCCAAGATGGAGCAGACATGTCGAAAGTAGATATTCATGTCCCGCATCACGCTACTTTGGATCGGATAATACTCACCCCATCGTAGGTCAGGTCAGATATTACCCGTGGGGTGGGTTCAAATTTCCGAACTCGGAGTGTAGTAGATGTTCCACATGTAGACTTTTGCAACCTACTCAAACATATATTTATTTAACAAATGAGTATTTGTAACCGGATAACCACTTCCTCCTCTAGCTGGTGCATAAAGAGTGGATTTGGAAGTATACAATGCCGACCTGACAATTGTCGTTTGGGTAGGGCACCATCTTTGATTTCGGCATCAGTTGTTATGAACTTATAATAAAAAACTCCCCACACACAACCGTGCGATCGAATGGCGCCACTCCGATCAGTCCAAACCGGCCGTCGGCGAGAATATAGAATATATGCACACAGTGGCATAGAATAGATTACCTTGCCCGCCAATTGATTCCCATCTAAATCCGATGAGCTGTGGACCGGCGATTTGCAGCTTTGAACCCTAGCCCAGCACGCGTTGCTCCCACAATTAGCCTTCTTACCTAATTCAGAGGCAACATTATTCCTCATTCCTTCCTGTTTCCAGAAGCAAAGCTAAGCTCAATTTGTCTTCTCTTTTCCACTACCGTTTTGTCGTCTTTGCTTTGAAACTTTCCTCTCTCAGCCGATTTCTGGTTCGACATTTTCCCATTTCCCCCAATTTAAGTTCACTGTGCACCAACTTTCAACTTCCATACCGCACGCTTGAAAACAACTTATATTATATATAGGTTGATTATTACTATGCATGATATTTTTTTTCTTCTTCCAATTGGAAGTTTCTCAAAGAATGAAAATCAAACCCTATCAAATTACATAACGTAGAAAGAGCTTTTTTTTTTGTCACCAAGTGGGCTAACACTATTGCTATTTTCGATTGACCGACAAAACTTGACAACAACATGAGGGAGACGGAATGAGTTAGGGTGGCTACCAGACTACATCAATATCTGACATCCATTTTTCTCTGTTCTCTTTTTTTTTTAATCTTACGGTTAATCTTACTTTAGAGTAATTTTTGAAAAAAAAAAATCACACCCAATTATTCTATATATCCTATGCAAACCTTAACTCAATCCCCACCGCAAGCACTTCTCCCACCCTTTCCTACCGCCGTTTCTCCACCCCACTCCACAACCCACATCCGGCGACCACTCCTTCCCTCTCTCCTCCCTTCCGCCACATCCCACTACCACTACTAGGTGGAAATTGGGGTGGGTGTGGTTACTCGTCCCACATTTTGCGTGTACCCACACCCACAAATTTACAATTATGCTACCCACAACCCGCACTTTAGTGGTTAGTTGGTAACCACTATCCACTGTGGGTTTGTCCGGGTTGGGTGTGGTTACCCGCAAAAATCCATATTTGCAAGCAAAGAGTTTTGTCGCCACTAACGTATTTGTTGTTCGTAACTAAATTATAGTGATATACACTTGTGTTGTTCGTGGAGATACAATTTTGTACATCGATCTTACTCAACGTGGAGATTTTTTCTTTTTGAGTTTGGTATTTAACTTTTGTGCCATAGAGTTGTGATTTCATATTTCCCCGACTAGGGTGAAATATGACAATTAAATATGATCTTGTATTTTTTTCACACAAAAGCAAAAATATACTGATAAAAGTCACAAAAGGTGTTCACTTTTAATGAATT